TGAGACTTGCCCCAATGTAACAGAAGACTTCACATGACTACTTGAACTCTAATTCCGCCATGTAACTTTAGGCAGAAACAATTCTCATGATTAAAACTGCTGCTCCTGTCTCAGAGCCCAACCCTACACTCCCTCACGCACAAAGCCACCTATTTAAACTTCACTCTACGCCCAAAGACCAGGTCTGCTGTACATGGAGCAGGAATGCCCTTCACCCCCAACAGCCACCAAACACAACCGTGTCCTTCTGTCACTGCATTTTGGCAGTGAAATATCACCCCAAACCGCTCTTCCTGTCCCCAGCACTGGTGACTCATTCACCCTGCACTCACATGCAGGTAACAGGAGGAGACGTTTGCCTCGCTGCAGCCCTCCTGCCCGCGTTGCAGCATCACCTGCCTCCCTGCTCAGCAGTCCCCATCTGTCACCCAGCTCTGACTTTGTGCAGATTACTCGAGGATTTATTTATTTTCAAGCAGGCTACGTGGATGAAAACAGGCGCTACTTTGTCCTCCTGCTCCGTAGCTTCCACCCATTTGTCTCATTAACTCATTTGGGGTTGTCGTGATGTTAGCCCTTTAGGGCAGAGATGGCCTCTGTAAGATAAATTCCCACCCCACTGCCCCAACCTCACTGGATGAGGTGTGTGACCACCACAAGAAAAGTAATATTAAATACAAACATTGAAATGTTGTGAGCCACGTTCACAGAGCCAGGCCTTAAAACATCAAGCATCTCTCCCGGATTGTAAAGCAGGGGCTGCCAGCTCACAGACCACATTTTCATCAGCTGCACCCTCGTCATTTCCTGATTTCGTTTTCATTAAAGTGTAGCCCAGGATTAAAACCAGTCAGCTGGATCTTCTATGTGGTGCAGGCAATTTGCAATATTGCACCAGCGTTCAATCTTAATGACGCTGCACAAATACGCCCCTCTGTGTCATCCTTTACTACACTGCAAAAAAATAATAATCAGCCTAATCTATAAATGGAGAACAGTTTCCTGCTTCATATATTGGAAGACAACATGTTTTTCTATAGGTTATTAAAAGTAATCACTTCAGGATAAATCCTCTAGTGAATACGACAATGTTTTCCATTTCATTTTCTGTGCATGCACCACTTTCAAAAGATCAGAAAGTTGGAATCTCCCAGAAAATCACACAGGAATGAAAGCAGTGGCAAAGCTGCCTCGACCGACAACCTCAACCTCAACATTTTCTGCTCTGTGTTGTTTCCTAAGGCTTTTTATTGCACGATCGGGTGCAGTACCTAAAACCCTCACAAGACTATTTAACATTTACTGGTGAAAATGTAGCATTTCTGTGAAATTTGATATTTTCTTTCATCAAAGGCAGGGAGCCTCAACCCACATGTTAACAGTAATGTAACAAGCCTACTGCATGCGCTACAACTGAAGATCCTTTTCCAATTAGAATTCATTTACACTGGGGAGAGGAAGGGCAGGAACAAAGAGGTGGCTCTGGAATTCATTTAGAGCTGGAATCGGACCATCCCAGCTCGGAGGACCGGCAGCTCAGCTGGAACCTACACACTTGCTAGGACTCCGCAGAGAAACAGAAGTGCAAGAGCTTGTTAGCAGGGAGCACAGTTTGTCCTCAGAAATCCAAGGCAATGCACACGAGAACTTTATTTTTTTCTATGGAGGGTAAAGAAGATCACGTCTGTTGTATTAGGGGAAGAACTACTTAATTTTCCTGAAACTTGAGCCTGACTTTGCTTTTCAGTTCCAGCTCTGGTAGAATCTCCAGATCAAACTCATTAGCGTTTGTTAAAACCAGGTTTGCTGATAGAAATGTGTGGGACAGCAAACAAAATCAGCATCAGGCCTCGAGAGAGGATGTGCCTCTTTAATTGAAAAAGGCAGAGTAATCATTCATTTATTTAACCCAGAGATGATTATAATCTGAAAACCTTGAAATCCTCTTACACAACAACTGTTTTGGCAAGCCCCTCTGTGTTCCAACAAATATTAAACTGTGCTTGCCATTTGTCTAAGGAATCTTGTATTAATAAACATGAAGAAGAACACTTTTACCTCCCACACTCAACGACAGAAGAAAACAAAGACCAGCTGTATTCATCAATGGATCCTTGTTCTGCACATAAAGGCTAATTACATTTTACTTCAAGCCTACACATGGAAAACTTTTCTGCTGCCATCTTGTCAAATTCAGCGTCTGATGTTCCAGCTGACAGACTGCAATGACTGCACATAACGAACTTCTTTCTGCCATTAACACCTTCAGCACCCTGGGCTATCGGCGCAACGCAGCGCCCGGCTTCTGCCAAAGGCAAGGCTGAGCTCTGTGGATTCCAACGAAAGGAGCTGATTTCACTGAAGATTCGAAGTCCAGAATCCAACCCCAGCTGAAGATGCCCTGCCAGCACCGAGCTCAGTTACTCCAAACCTCCCTCTGCACACAGCGCTTTGAGCCGGGACGTTCAGAAACCCCCAGCAGAAGATAAACAAACCAGCTGACACAGTGACTTCCAACTTCAAGATCACAACCACCAGTCGCTAGGATGGAATCCAGACTCCCTCATGCTGATACTGAAGACTTTTTTTTTGAAAGCTTTTCACAGTTACAAACAGTTAAAAGACAGATTTACTCCAAAACTGACAATCTTCAAAGCACTTTTAGCTTCAAAAAATTGACAATTATCTTTTTTTTCCTGAAGGCATTCCAATTCATCTGCATCAAATAAGTGTCTGTAAAACTAACAATTCTGGCCTAAGATAAAAATCACATGTTTTTAAAACACAAAATTAAAATTGGCAATACAAGTAGCTTTTCAGACTTAGATCAAAAGAGGGTTTCTTTTCAGAGAAGAATCAAACTGTCTTTCACCATTTTTATTGGTGTTTTTTCAACTTTTCTCCCAGCTTTTACAATTAAAATAGATGACTCAATCTCACTGTCTACATTCAGTTCCCCCTTTCATGGCTTTCTAGATTTCCATATTGCAGAATTTGGGCTACAAACACCATGGATGACTGCTATTATACAAGCACTATTTCTGCCATAAATATCCAAAACAATGATAAAATATTTCTGCTGTTATTACAGTCTACAAGTTTGTTTTCACAGTGTATTAGTTTAGGAGATAAAGTACATGCCTAATGCCTGCTTCAGGATTCAGCTCTGTGATATCTACATTACAGACCCAGCCTTCATCATTGTTCTGATACAGATCACAGTAAAGCTTCTTGCAACTGCAGATCCTACTAATTTGATGTAATTTGCTGTGTGTTAGGTAAGAATTCTACTCAAGATCCTAAGAAAACATCTGTGTGAATCTTCCTGAGAAAATGAAATACACTAGAAGTGCAAGCAATCTGTTTCGAGTACATCTTTTGCACAGTGTAATATAAATCATGCTACTAAGGGAAACAGTATTGAAATCCAAAATGCAAACACTGCAAGGAAGGACACTGAAAGGAGTGAGGGGTTGAAAGGTTCAGAGCCTACAACCACTGAGCCCTGATGCCTGTTCCTGCAGCAATGACTGCAAGGCAAAATCCCAGCAACAGAGCTGTCAAGCATCAGTTATGAGCAGAAAGGGAAATAAAGGCAATTTGCAGTAATTTAAGGCTCCATCAGAAACATCATTAGTATGCATCTCTTAAAGAAGGATGAAATCAACGAAGGAAAAAAATACATTTGATCACCTTATGCAGACCTCAAAGGGGACTGGAGTTACAGGGTACAACCAAAATTTACTTTGAAGATTACTGTTAATGATGTGAAAGGTATTTCAACCCCAGACACCGATTCTTAACTGCTATGGATAGAATTCTGTAAGCTCCAACCTCCCCATGTTCTTCAGAGGGGAACTGGATCCTCTGTGCTCACAGAACCACACACTAAGAAATTAAAACTTCTTGTGAGTTTAAGTGGCCTCGAAAAACCTGATTCTGCCATGTGCCATATCAGAAAGCCACTTCCTTATACACCAAAACAAAGCCATGGCACTCTTCCCACCAAGCCTGCACTGAAGTTTCTCTCCCCAAAGCATGGAGACAACCAGCAGCCTTCTGCTTCCATTCTCTTCTGTACCACAACAGGTGGCACAGCTGGGAGGAAGGGTTTTCCTGTCTATTCACCCATCACCCTCCTACTTGGAAAAGAAGGAGGCAGTGATGCCCTGGGTGTGACACATGCAGCTGGCAAAGGATGTGCCCTTGCTCTTACAGAGGGCACCCCTTGCTTTCCCATCTCATTCCAGAAGAAGAAAGCACTGTTTGGGCTGAATTCTGGGATTGCTGCTGTTCATGAGATTTCCTTCTCATCAGAACATTTCCATAAATAAAAAGAGTGAAAAGAGAAAAACAGCAGAAATCTGTTTTCTGTCTTTTGTTTTTGGAACTGAATGTTAATAAAACCAAGGGATAATTGAGTACAGCAGCCATTACAAAGACAAGGAGATACATATATACATATATATATATATATATATATATATATATATACATATATTTGAGACTACCTGTGTTCTGCTTGAAAAAAGCAACAATTGGCAAAAAATGTCATTCCGTAGAGTTTGGGTGGATTTGGGAGAAAGATGGCTGTTATGTCACAACCAGAAAGAATCAGGTGCTTATCAGTGCAGTGGATATCCAGTGGTAAACCCATTCTTCTCAGCAAGACTGCAGAATCACAGAAAATACTGTAATCCTGAAAGTGGCCAATTTCTAAATAAAATATGAGACATGGAATAAAAGATGCATAGCAGATGCAGCACCTGAGAATTAAATCAGGAATGCAGCAGCATGTGGCCCAGGAAAAGTGTATTGTTGGGTAGAAAAACATGAGAATTAATAAATTCTCTACAGGAGACCAAATTATGACAGTGTTTACAAAAAAGTGCGGACTCCTGAACCTCTCCCATCTTGTCCATTTCCAATAGGCAGATACAAAATAAAAAAAGCAACAGTACCCTGAAGGAAGAAATAGGAGGAAAGCAGTGAATTCTTACTTTGCAGTAGTTTCTTCATCGTATTTTGTTTTCAGATCAAACAGTTCTGTTCTGGTTTTTTCCAAGGCTAAAAGGCAAAAACATGAAGCATTACAGTGCTGTAACAACAGCAAAAAGCAAGAAGACTACTCCATTCTTTTAATTGAGCCATAAATAAAGCTCTGTATCTCCTGATGAAAAATCCTTTGCTCTGTCTTCTTACCTAGGCAAATCATTACGACTTAGCAGAAATTTATCTTCTCATTTTTCGTTTTCTTCTGGTATTACTTCAACATTATAAAAATTTCCAGTTTCTCTTCTGCTTAACAAAGCTAAACATTACTCATTTCTTATTTAGCCAGCTAAACTGCTCATTAATTTGAAATATTTACTGCAATAATTCAGGCAAGAAAATTCCTTGTGTTCTCGAAGGGAACAAAAACAAACGCATCCTGACCTGGAATATGTCAGAGTGCAGAGATGGACAGAAATATTAAAGGCATGTCACAGAACAGGCAAGGCACACTAGGAGATACTGGGCTCATATTGAACCCAGCCCACTATAAATACTTATCAAAGATCAGAAATGTGTGAAACCAAAGCAAAACATTAACGTGGATGAAAAGTTCCATGGCCTGTTTTCACTGCTGTGATGTTGTAAAGCTGTATGAGCTTTGTGCTTGGCCGTGCCCACTCTATTTATCAATAGACTGGCTGCAACTCAAATGGTCATTCAAGGTGTGAAGCCCCAAAGCAGCTCTGATTCACAAAACACATTCAAGCTCTGCTGGTTCACACACAGTCCTGACTCGGTGGAGGATCTCCGTCCTCTCACCCCAGCCTGTGCACTGCTATAGGTCAGAACAGCGATGCCAAACCTGTCTGCAAAGCTTGGACTTTGTGTTCAGCTTCTTCCAGCTTCGAGGCTGTCGACATCTGTGTCTCCTGCAATTTTCTGTAAACGGAGAAGAAGAGGTGAGAACAGAGCACGCAATCATGTTAAACAACTTACTTGTATTTTGCAAATTTGGAAGATGAAGTGATTAACTGTCTCCACCGTAACCAGACAACTGACAACACCACACAGACTACAAGGTGCTTCAGTGGGACCCATAAATCATGTCACATTGCAATACTGTTCATACTTTGCAGTCCCACTTATTAAAATTTTAGCAGTGTAGCCACCTCATAACATAAGCTGTGAACATTATACAAGAGTTGACTGCTATATAAATGACAACTTCAGAGGAAGGTTTTCTTGAGCATAATTTGTTTTGGAAATGTCACACACATTAAGAAAATTGTCACCAAGCACCCTCTGTTGTACAAAGTTAGTACAAGGAGAATGATACATTTCCATTTTACTGTCATAATGAAGAAATTTCTTGCCATAAGTGATATACTGGATAGATGAGGCAGCTGTTTCATCACAGCTATAATAGTTGCCAATTTCAGTAATATTATTTAGCTACTTCAAAAAAAACTCCACATATTTCAAAACAAATTTCACATTGATATTTTCTCTATAACATAATCAGACCTTTAATATGCTCACATTTCTTATGGCCACAGGCAATATTTTCTGGTGTGTGTCAGCAATACACATTAGCATCATCCTTCCACACAGCCACTACACCCTTTGCTAACGGCTAAATGAAAGGAGTTGTAAAACTCATCTTCAGAAGAGAGTCTGTCCAGCATCTCCCAGAAGACGTTATTTTTGTGACACTGCTTTTAAGATATTCTGCAGATTTTGGAATTGTGAAATGCCTTATAAGAATACCAGCATCTGACTTGCACTCTCTAGGATACGTACCTTTATTCTCCAGCACTGACCAGACTGGTAGCTATTTGTAGTGAGAAACACACGACAGCTCCCTTCACCCCAATGACACACAGGGAGAACTCAGAATCTCCCCTATGCATTCTTTTTTTTTTTTTTTTTTTGCATTCTAATTCTCTCATTTTCTTTTATATTTATGCATTTCTAAATTGTACTTGCTGAAGACATTGCTTACATGTTACTTATCAGAGAGTAACCACAGATAATGATGACCAGAAAATGCCTTGTGTTCATAGGTAGATCCTTCCCATTCAGCTCTGAATTTAAGCAATTCATGTATCAACTAAAAAGCTCAACATAAACTGACGGGCTTCTATGCTAAGCTGAACATGTTAGCCTCAATGTTATTGTTCCATGGGAGAAATAAACTCTTCAAGGTAGAGAACTCAGCTTGAAAGAACTCCCTTACAACCCTTGGTCTCACCCAGAGAGATCTGTCTGCCCACTGACCTCTAAGATTCAAACACTCTTACTATTTGCAAAAGATCAGAAATGCATCCAAGATGTTTAAAATAAATTTTAAAAAAAACCAACAACAATAATGTAAAAATTAAAATACTCATTAATTTTAACACCAGAATGTGCAAGCTGTTTTGTAGTTCTAGTTCAGGAACACAGTCCCCTCCTTACACATGATCGTATGAGCAGGAGTGAACCCCTCTTGGGCACAGTGCTCCATCTGAAACAGCTCAGGGCTGTACCGATAGCACAGCGATATTCTGACACAGCAAGTGGGCACAGCAGAGTGAACTGCATGCAAGCTAATGGAGAAAGATTGGTGTCACAAAGGACAACGCAGCCAGTGAAGAATAAAAGCAGGTTTGCACTCTTCTGAACACGACACCCCTCCACACAACGCTACTGCCAAGCAACAATCTGTCCCTGTTTCACTCCTACACTTCCACAATTGTTTTTCTGTGCAAAGTTGAGTATCAAATGATTCTGTGTCAAACACATAAATCACCAGAATCTCTCAATAAACGACCTGTCTCAGCGCACCAAAGAAAGGATCCTGGATGGGAGGAGCAAACAGAAAAACACATCTCTCTTTTTCCACAGCACCTGCAGAGGACACACGCACTCACCTCTCCTTCTCCGCGAAATCATTTTGTAATTTTTGTTCTTTTTCCAGAGCTATGTTCTCAGCTTGGTTCTTCAGGGTCTGTTCATATTCTCGGATTTTCTCCTTAAGTGCTTTTATTGTAACCTCTACAGAAAAACAATAGGGAAAGAATGAGTTTACATGGCTCCACGTGGCTCCACAACACAAGGCTTTCTTTACCCTGTAGGCTCAGTGTGTTTTAAACTTTAGCTCTTCAACTCTGACACAAAATCAATGGATATGAGTCCCTTCAGAGACCTTTTACTCCCTAAATGTTAAATTGAACTTTAAGTGTTTATGTTGAGAAGGATCAATGCAGTTTGCTGGAAAGCAGCGAGGAGGTTTCTCTAACATGACTTTAAAAAAAAAACAAAAAAATCAATTCTAAAATATAATATCACCTTATTGACTAGTCTTGAATTAGCTCGCTGCTGAGTACAGATTAATAAAGTCCCAGTGTGGGTTTACGTATGCATTTATACATAGGACAGTTAATTTACCTCATGTGCTCATGTAAAAAGAGGCAGTTTTACTATGGTTCATGCACAGATGCAATCTAACACTAATTGAACACATATCTTGGGTACAGCTCTGTCCTGCTTCACAGCTGATGACAAACAAAGATTTAACTGCAGTACTAACAACAGATCAGATGCAACAGACACTCTGGAGCCCTTCATATCCCGTTACTCAGACTGCCTTGTCATCCTCACTGGGCTTCATGCACGAGCACCAACTATTCCAGCTCTGAGTGCATTTGCTGTGTTTCAGAGAATCTGAATAAACCCTCCTCTCAGATGAAGGAGCTTCCTTGCATTTGCTGAGCCTAGTGATGGATGAGAGATGAAGCAGAAACCTGAAGAGTCACCATGGAGCCACTGATGGACAGTGTCATGCGTGCCCTCATCCATTCCTATGTGAAAGCCCTCTGATCCCACCCACAGGAAAAGACCAAATCCTTATAGGGGCCATGAGAAGAAAAGCAGGACATTCACCAGAGTATGCTTTGTAACAATAATGGAATTTGGAAAAAGCATCAGAGTGCCAGAAGTCTTGCAGCTAGCAATATACTTCAGTGTACTCACAGACAGATGTGGCAGGTTAAAGGCATGGCTTATTAGCAGCTGCCATTAACGATGCTTTGGGAGAAACACCTTTGGATATAAAACATTTCTGGTTCTGCAGAAATACGGGAGAAAGAGTAACTCTGCTATGAAAAGTAAAGCCTAAGTACTTGGGAAAAAATATCTCAATAACACCACCAAAACCAAGCATAATCCTTTAAAAGCCTGCACTCTCAGACTTGACTGGGGAAGTGTCCCAGCAGACAGCAGATACCTGGTGATAAGGTCTGCAGGCTGGGAGCTACACTGAAGGCAGCTGGCCAGAGAGACCATGAGAGCAGAGGAGAGTGGAGAAGTGACTGCCAGCACAGCCACTGCTTCTGAATGAAGGAGTGGGATTGTGCTTGCCATGCAAAAATCAGATGAGTCTCATTACTGATTAATAAGCCATGAAAGGGACGTGATGATTTTTTTTTTTTTTTAATGAGCAAAGAGAAATGCTTCTGAGATCTGGGAAACATGAATTCTGCTCTCCTGAATAAGCAAAGGGTGCTCCTTCACACATGCAAAAGGATGCTCATTCCTACATACAAAGGATGTACTATTTGTGATGGAGGTATCTCTGCTGCAAGTATTTTCACATCTGAACCTGCAAAAGTATTCAGGTATGTGAACAAGCACAGATTCAGATAAGCAGCTTCCATTTCAATAATCTCAAGGAAATTATTAGAGTTGCATCTTATCCATTCAGAATGCCTTATTTTAGAAGAAAATAGAATACTAAAATTAATGCAAAAATGCACAAACATGGGAAAAAGTATTACTTTTGTGACAATCTGTTTTTACCTCTAGGCACAGACTAATCCTCTGCACTGCTCCAAAAACTAAGTGCCTCTTTTGCTGTTCAGGTCAGCTGAAGCTTGTTAGCCACTGCCATTTATACCAGTTTTGGAAGAAGTTCTTAAAGGCATTGTACAGCTTGTATACAGCCCTCCAAACAAAGAGATTAACTGATCAAAGCACCCTTAGCCAACAACAGGCTTTTCCCTGGATATCTTATTAATGCCTGTTTGAAATAGAGTGTGAAACTATTGCGCTGGCGTCAAACACAGCGCAAACACCAGAGTGGCACCACAGAAAGGAAGTCAGCACGCACAAGGGGAAACAAAAAGACCAGTCTGTGAGCAGCTGCTGCAAACAACTACGGAACCTGAGATCTATTCCACCTTCTGGGATGAACCCCCATGTCGTGCCTGCATGTATGGGAAGCACAGCCTCGTGGAAACTGCACAGTGAGTTACAGTTATTGTACATTTCCACTGCAACACTGCCAGTGGGCAGCATTATGGTTCCCACGTAACACCTTCTGTAGTGCAGCCTGAATCTTTGCAGGCTGGGACCTGTCTTCCCAAAGGCCATCCCTTCCATGTTAATATCATGTAGGTGTATAGATGCTCCTTCTGCTGAAAATGAGATGCAATAAATCCAACCTGGCTGCTAATGTTGCTTTCAAGCGTTACCCATTTGGGTGCAATGGCTCCACAGTCTAAGAAAGCTTCAGTGTCCCCACATGTGTAGAAAAAACCCTCATCTATGATCCAGAACATAGTACTGAATATGAAAATGACCAGCCCTACGTACAGGGAAGCAGGCATACAACCAAGCAAAATTTGCTTCCTGGTGCAGGAAACATGTTCTTCTGAGATAGAAGAAAACTTGAACAGTCCTAAAGACAAAATGCTTTAAATCTAATTGAGACTTTCATGCAGTCCATCTACTCCAGTCTCATGAAAACTTAATTAAACATAATTAGCTTGTTTACATTGTTCCACACTGTTCTTTGCACAGTTCGTACAGTAAACGTAAAGTATGCATGCTGAATGTACTCCAGCAGCAGAACGCAGATTCACATGAGGAAAAACAGAGTAAAATTTCCATTTGTACAAGTCTGTACCCATATATGAAATACTGGTTGTTTTTTCTTTGTGCATGGCTGTGTAAGACATGTGTTCTACGTGCACCCACGCGTCCATTCAGCTTGATGTCAGCAGCAGCACAGCCTACACGTAACTTCAGCTGGTGGAGTCACTTCCAGGCAGAGCTGGAGGAGGCTACAATGCAGTAACAGCCTCCTTCTCTGATGTGGTGCTACAGAAACTTTTCACGAAATGCAGAGAGTGTAACCCAAAGCCACAAACGCACAAATGCAGAAGTGGCAACAATACAATACTACACTTTCTTTACTGAATTTCAATGCTACTGTCAACTCTGCCTGTAAGAAATAAAACTGAATTTAATCTCAGTCTTCAAATGTTAGCACGCATTAAAAGCTGATAAACGAATTCATTTGCAACCTACCCTGATTTTTCACCTCGGCAAATTCTTTGTTGTATTCCTCTAGAGTTTCCCTAAGTTTCTGGTTCTCTGTTTCAATATCGTGCATACGTTGAACCTTCAGCTGTAGCTGCTGTCCTAAATCCAAAGCTGGAACTGGATCTGAAAAAGAAACAGTAAAGTAAAACATAAGGTAACAGTAACACTTCTGCAACTCCAGCAGCTCAGAGTACAAGCAGCCTTTTTCCTTTATGGATATCCAGTGACAAGTTTTAATTACTTTTCCTGTATGCTCCTCACTCCATATCCTACATAATTAAAAAATATGGATAGTTAAGTTCATCTAGGCTACCCTTTAGACTGGGGCTGCCTTCCTCACTGGGGCATTCACCCACAGGGCAGTCTGTCCTGGGTGCAAACAGGCACAGTGCAACGGCACGTGACAGCCTAAAGCTGTGTATTTTTCTGTTCAAAATGAGAAGTTGGAGGGAGAAAAGCAATCCAGACAATACCATCCACGGACAGCTGGTGTCCCTTAAATACCTTCACTTTTGCAGGACTGAATTTCTGAGCAAAATTCTGCCCTCCTGCACAGCTGAGCACTAAAAGGTTATTTGATTAGAGAGACGTAAGCTGTATTTTCTCAGAGCGACAGATCAATAACAGTGGTGTGAATTTAATACCATAAATCTTGGATTTTGTGACCTGCATTCCCCACTTTTCTTACACTTCTAATCGAATAAACATTAGAAATTATCTTATAAGTCCTTGTAACATGAATTCTCCAATGCCGGTTCCCTTCCCGAGGACACACCTGACACGTACACGGGTCATTTATTCTGGGATTTCTTCCCCATCAGGATAGGAAAACGCTGGAGTCCAGTGGACTTATAAAAGATTATTGAATACATTTCTCTTATGGGCGCCAGCATCTCTTGTGGAATGGCTGCAAAGATTTAGTCTCCTGTCGAGGAATGCTAAACACCAAACTCAGCGGATCAACAACAGTATATGTTAGGGAGTTCACTTAATTTTCAACCACCACAGTCATTAATTTTTCAGACCACCCTCAGTCTCTGGAAACACATAATAAGTCTATTGTACCTCTGTTAACACATTAAGCATGAGCCTGTGTGTTTTTTCAATATGCCAGCATTGTTTCATAGTTTATAAAAGAATAGTGCTGGGTTATGTTGAGCTCAGAGACACTGTAAGTAGCAGTCTGCTGCATTTTGTTACTTCGGTTCTTCAACAGCTCATGGCATTACCCCGTTCATAATACAAAATCTAGGTTGCTTGTCATCTGTTCTCTGTACATACATAGTTTATGACTACATCGCTTTTTCATTTATGCTTTTTAGGCCAAATACTTTTCGTTATTATTATCTGCATTAAAATATTTATAATAAATCAAACTTAAAATGTTATTGCGACAGAGACGGGGGGGGAAACAGGTAAGGAATTACACACCAAGTTGAAGTCACAGCAGTAGCACGAGTTCCAGCCCCTGCAGCACTGCTGCGCGGCCCCATCAAGGCGCAGGCTGTCACAACATGCCCTTCTCCCACGGAGGTCTGCGACCCTTTGTGGGACCAAATGCTTGTCAGCACCGTGCTGCAGAGCCAGGCCTGGGCAGCAGGGATCTGAGCACTGCTTATGGAATTCCTACAGAACAGCACTAAAATGCTACAAGGAAAGAAAGCGAACTTTACAAACCCGTGAGCGCGATTTTACCCCCACTGTAAGACCAGGCACCACAGATGCATCTTGCTCCAAATGCACGTGGCTTTTTACTTTCAAATCAGACCAAAATAACGTGGGCATTATGAAGTGAATAATGACAAACCTTTAGTCAAATCTGAGGTCCCTGAGCAGCTTTATGCACAAAATGAAAATGCTCACGATCTCATAATTATTCATCAGGACATGTATATTTAATTTAGCTCTATTAAAGGTTAATGTTCAAGTAGCAAAACAGTGGCAGAACAAACAAAATGTAAGAACAGTCTCTGTGCATTAAACTTCAAACTTTACCAGAGCCCATTTGAAGGACTGATGGCCTGCAGCCACTAAATAATGCGAAGGACACAGCATGAGCACCTCTTAGCCCTAATTTTTATCACTGCATGGCAATAAGATGACCAAGACACTGTGACCAGAGATAGAAATAATTCAGTTCTCACGACAAGCTTTAACATGCTCTAATTAAAAAAAAAAAAAACCAAACATCTAAAAGGCCATGATTTCTGAAGTATTTATGAACACCAATTAATACGAAACAAGCATAAACCCTATTTGAGTGGAGTGCACTTAAAAATAAATAAAAATACTCCGCTCTTCCCAATGTATGCATGCATGAAGAAGCATACCTTGGTGTATTAACCAGGCTTACAAAGTGTGTTTCATGTCATTTAACAGGAGGTCACTGAATTTTTAAACAAGCAATGGACCAAAACTTTCGATTCATTACACAAACAACAGGCACACACGTTTCAGACAAATCAAATGCCACTAGCTTATAGGCAGCAACAAAGACGTGCCTTTTCTGTAACTGCTAAAAGAGAAAAATCATCTCAATTAACACTTAAATGTACAAAACTCATTGCAAATTATTCTCCTTGTTTGGTTCTTATCTGGCTTGCAGAAGTTCAGGATCTCTGCATGGCACGAGATAAATAAGAAATGAGAAAAAGCACAAGAAGAATCAGCTCATCTACAACTTAAACCCCATAGTGCAAATGTTATTGCCTAGCAGTAAATGGAGATGTTTGTTTTTATGCTGAGTTCTGCACACATTTCTACATTTTCCTGCTCTGTTCTGCTCTCCTAAGCCACTTGTTGCACCCTACCCCACAGAGATGCCCCCTGCACCGTGTGTGCACACAGAGCCCCACACACCCAGACCTGATCCCTGATGAGCCGTGGGTGTCCCTGCTCAAGACAGGGCTGTTGGACCTGATGGCCTTTAAGGGCCTCTTCCAACTGTAACAATTCTGTGAATCTATGAGGCTTCCCCACACTACCGGAGCAGCGCTGCTGCTTTTGCTTCCCCAAAGACCTCGCTGAGCAGCCCAGAGGAGCTGAGTGGCCCAGCTAATGAAAATGCGAGCAAATCAAAAGGGCAACGTTATAAAGAAGTTAATATTGTCCGTCAAACAAGCGGGGTGCAAAGCAGCAGCACTTCCAGATCATTCACATGCCATGGACAACACACCATTTCTGAGCAACACTGCAAAAGAACAAATTGTCGGCGCTGCTGCTTCTGCATGTAAACAAAGCACCGCTTTCAAAGCAACCTAAAGGCAGGTCCTGATAAAACGCCGCTTTACGTTATGAGCTGGATGGAGGCAGCGCCTCACACCTGCAGCCTCAAACCGGGAGGCAAGGCTGGTCTACCCGTGACCAACGCCACTTCCAAACAGAATCTTGTTCATAAAATCCAAACCCAGCACAAAGGCAGCCCTCAGCGACAGAGCAGCGCCTGCTGCCCTCCCTGGGCACACCGGGCTGGACGCTGACATCACAGCACTCACATTGAGCAGGGGCACTCTGGGCTAATGTAATCATACGATTACATAATTAACCCAGCTGTCTCATTAAGAAAATCAACTGGAATTCAGGGCATAATTAGTCATACAGCAATTAGCATGCTGATGAGCAACTGATGAAAAGCTGTCTCGATGTGGAGTATGCTGGGACCACCCTCGTTATTTAAGCAGAAGAGGGGAAAAGCTCCGGAACGTAACGCTGCGTTGGAGGTCTGCGTTCGGTGGCGTTTCGGAAGGTGGAAGCGCAAAAGTTGCTCGAACAGCGCGCGCTGCTCGGAGCTGTCAGCCCGAAGGAAAAAAAAAACGCTGTCAGCGCTTAAATACAGAGAGAGACACGGAGCGCGCGGTGCCCGCAGCCCGGCGGGACGCTGGGGCCGCCCTCACTCAGCCCTTCCCGGCAGCCCCGGGCGGCGGGGGGCGCGCGGCAAGGCCCGGCATGGAGTCGCCGAGCGGGACGGGACGAGCCTGAGGCGGCGCTGGGGCGGGAACGGCCGCGCGCCCTGAGGTGCTGCGCGGAGGCAGCGGCCGCACGCAGCAATGAGTCGCAATTCGGTGTTTTGCAAAAGCACCCGAACCCTTTTGTGGAAGTGCGGTGCCCGCGGGCCCGCTTTGTTTGTTTACAGCGTGGGAAGGACCGCGCGGCGCTCTGTCCGTATCTTAAGATGGAGCTCCTTTCCAAAACAAAGGGCTCCGTGCTCCCTCCTCACCAAGAAATCAAGTTATGAAACAGTGCCAAACTTCGGGGGCAATTAATATTTCATTCCGCCGTAATGCGTTTCCGAAGGTTTGGGTCTAAAAATAATCCGTTTCACAAAGCGCGGCTCTGTTGCCCAAACCGTGGTGTAAGGAAGGCTTCCTCACAAACGCCCACGGCAAGCGATAACGGAGGGGAGAAAAACAACAACCCGTCCTCAGCACGGCGTCATTAACGCAACTTGAACTCTGCTTTTATTGATTATTCTTAAAGCATGGCCACAACGCTGAAGTTTGGGGGTTTCCTGAAGGCACCGCTCCAGGTCCCGCACTTCCTCAGGAGATTGAATCTGAAAATAACCCGAGAGCCTGCTTTGGAAAAAAAAATAATAATTACACTGCAGCTTTTGAATATTCAAACACCTCACAGCATACTTAATTAATTCATTAATTATTCCCCAGAAATTTCTGGGGTAAATTGATACAGCCTAGAGAGACTGAGACAAAGATTTCGCGGAATAAATGATAACTTTGCTCCTGCTCCCCCCTGACTCTGGCAGCCCAGGAACAGAGGAGCTACAGCCATGATTTCGTTCAGAACAAAGCTCATCATCTCTCCAGCTCCTCGCTTCATAAACAACATGAAAAGGTTCTTCCTTCTATCTAGAATGAAACACATTCCCTTACTCCCCCACCCCACAGCACCAGGATCTATCTACTCCTCTTCTTTTTCCCGTTTTTCATGGCATTCTCCTCACCCTGCTGCCCTCGGAGCATTCCATAAGGGCTCCATCAGCAATTCCCAGTACCCATTTCCCTCACCAGTGAGAAAGCAGGCACCAAATTGTGCTGAGCCCCCAGAACAGCAAGGCAGAATTTTTCCAGTTCTGATGCAGCCCTTCGAATAGGGATGACAAAGCC